GAAGTCCCCACCCACCCACGACCCCCTCCTCGTAACGTCATCTGGTGATACCGTCTTCTCGTTTGGCACCTCTCCTGCAAGGGCGTTTTTTATTTCGCTCTTATAAGCCAAGCTCCTGTTCCGCTCTCCTCCTGCTTTTCCTCTGCCCCACTGCCCCCCTCGGCTTCTCCCTCAAGCCGCCCAACCTGTTCTACTACCTCACCCATGAGGGCGCTACTGAGCTCTTGGTTCTCCCGGTAAACCCCGGTAAAACCAATCTCCCATTCAGCTCTCCTCCTGTTTCTCCTCTGCCTGTCTTACCATCCTTGGCTTCTCCAGGCGGACAATGTGTTCTATTATCTCACCTACGAGGGCGCTGTGGACATTGATGCAATCACCGACCAGACCAGGCGCACAGCCTTCGAACAGCAGATCGCCGCTTTTGGCCAGACTCCCATCCAGCTCTTCACACGCCCCCACCCGGAACGCGGCCCGCACGTCCAAATCACCCGCCCACTCCACTTCTTCCCGTCCTCCATCTCCCTCTCCGCCATCATCCCAGCCCCCCCCACCCCGGCTGTTTCCTCCACTGTGGTTCCCGCTTTTGCTGGGAGCGTAGGGGGTCCTGGAGGGAGGACGCGGGGGGGCAAGGGGAGGTCGGAGGATGATATGGCTGTGGTGTTTATGGGGGTGGTGGGTCGTACTGTAGTGAGTGTGACGAGGGGGCAGGTGCTGACAGTGCGCTCGTGGAATGCTCCAAAGAAGCGCGTGAAAGTGGGCATGGTGAGTGTGGCGATGGGTGGATGAATGCTGGGCTCTGGTTCGGTGTCTGGGTGATTGCTGAATGGATTCCATGTTATGTGATGGATGCAGTTTCACCGCTGTGGGGAAAAATTGAAGTTTGGGAGTGACCTCCCTCCATTCGCACCTGATCCTTCCTATATCCCTCCTTTTCGCCTTTTTGCGAAACTGAAGTAACTCAAGAGCCTTGCCCTCACTCTCCAATCCTGTTGTTTTCCCCCCAACAGGATTATAGCATCAGCGTGGGTGAGCCAAGCCGAGTGTGCAGGATTGGAGCGCCTCTCTCTGCTCCCGGAGCTAGCAGCTATGGCGACTGCTTCGGAATCGTACCAGGAGCCACATCAGCATTCCTCTTCTCGGGGGGGCACTGGGACAATGCCATTCGCAGCACGTCTGTAGATGATGCTGCCACTGTTCAGGCGCTGCAGCAGCACAGCGACCTTGTCACTTGCCTTTCAGGTGCGCCTTTGTTCCTGTGTTGTCTGCCTGCATTGTGGTAGCCGTTGCAGCACAGAAACCCTAACTGCACACTCCCATCAGCATATCAGCTGCCGCGAGTACCATTTACCAGCAAATCATTCACTCTATTCCCTTTCGTCCTCACGTCCGTCTCCCCTTTCCTTCTCCCACGTATGCTGTCCCAGTGTCCAACGACGGTAACTGGCTGGCCACAGGCAGCCGTGACACAACAGTCATGATCTGGCGCATCGACCACCTGGGTGCACACACACATGAGCAAGGCGACCCCTTCATCTCCTCCAAGCCCCGCGCAGTGCTCTGCTCCCACGACGATGCCGTCACAGCTGTCATCGCCTCCTCTGAGCTAGATTTGATTCTCTCCGCCTCCCTGGACGGCTCCCTCGTCTTTTCCACTCTCCGTGCCGCCCGGTTCCTCCGGTCGCTGCAACACCCCAACAACTGTGCAAATGAGGCGCTGAGAATCGCCCTCTCTGCGCCTCTCGCTCGCGTCGCAGTCTACTCCGACGCCGCCCGCATGCTCCATGTGTGCTCCATCAACGGGGGTTGGCTGGAACATGCACTAGTGGACGAACCGATCACGCATCTTACCTTATCTCGTTGCGGAGAGTTCCTTGTCACGGCGTGCAGCGCAGGGTGGGACACAGGAGGAACGGGTGGTGGAAGAGGGGGGAGCGCCAGTGGTCGGGGAGGGGGGGGGACAGAAGCTGGGATGGTAGTGGTGAGATCCATGCATACACTGGAGCCGTTGCTGATGTTTGATGGGGTGGGGTCGCCAGCAGCGTCGATCACAACGACAGAGGAGGATGCCATCCTCGTGGGGCTGGAGGATGGCAGAATGCTGCTGTATGCTCTCAAGCTCTCCTCACATTGACCATCCCTCCACTACCCAGTCCACCAGTCCAAGCTGTCTCCACAGCTTTCGCACACATGCTCCTCTGACCTGAGTAAAGCTCTTGCCTTGTCACCCCTGCTTGAAGCTCCTCTTGACCAGGTTCTTTACAGTTCTCCCTTGAGCATTACCGGTCATCCTGGTAGCAGCGGCATGAGTTGAAGACAAGCGGGAGATGCCCATTTGCTGGCGAACAGCTGGCTGAGATGGCTGTTCAAGCCACGTAAAACTTTTACCGCTCCTTGTTTTCTTGCTGCTTTCTGCTTTTGCCCATCCAGTTATTTGTGGTACCTATGCCTAGGCCAAGCAGAGACTGTGATTGAATAAGGAAGGTGTCTGTGCCACCACCTGTGTGGAAGTAGACACCTGATGGTTTTGCTACTAGGGAACATGCTGTGCTAGTAGTAGTGCCTTGACTGTTTCTGTTGCTAGCAGTTTCATGACTTGACACAACCTTTTTCACGTTGGACCAGTCTGAGCAGCATTGGTGTCAACATCTAGCGGCTGTTTAAATGGAAGTGAGTGTACATTACAGCTTGACAGCAGTCCATCACCTCTTTATACAGTCACTCCTTTTTCAAGCATTTCCTGATAATAGCTGGCTTCAGCTGCCCTTGGTACACCACAACCGCAATAACAAGCGTGAAGAGGGAGCAGAGGAACCCACTAGCCATGGCGATCCCCACCTCTCTGGACCAGCTACCCTCCCCTCCTGCAACCGACCACCAGTCACTCTCCCCTCCTCTCCTCAGCCCCACACTGGACTCCGTCTGAAAGCTGTGATGGTGAAACCACACCACGGAGCCATGCAGGCCCACTAACCCGCCCTGCTTAACCAGCTGCATGTGGTCTGCTACTGGGTACACAGCAGCTCCGATGATTCGGTTTTTGTATGCATGGAAGACTAGGTTTACACGGTTGTTCACTCTGAGCATGTCCTTTAATGAGCTCGCTATGCTGAGAGCTCCTGCAGTTGCCCCAGATTTGTTGCTCCTGCTGCTGTCGCTGGTATTACTGCTGCTGCTGCTGATGATGGTGCCGCTGTTGCTGCTTCTGTCTTTGAGCTTGTGATAGGAGCCCATGAGGAGGAAGGTAAGCGGAACGTAAGACTGGTTCCTGGGATCCGCTGCCACGCGGCATTGCCACGTCAGCTCCTGCTGCACCAGCTGCGCTAAACGTTCATACTCCGACGGAGTTCGCACCTCGAGGCTACAGTAACGGTAGATGTTGACGCCAACGAAGACGGACAATGGACGGCCGGATTCGAAGCACAGGGGTCCTGGACCCCAGGGATCGGACGGCGAGTGGCGGCACTGGAACACCACCTCGTCGCCCTCCTTGTAAACGGACGGCACGGATGGGTCCACGTGGGATGCGTGCCTGCCTGAATGATGGAATTTTATATCAGATTTGCTGTCTTGATCGACGCCGCTGTGCACATTGCGAGCTTGGACCAAGGCAAACGGTAGATGACTTGCAATAGCGGGATGAGTTGATGAGCGAATATTTGGAATGCTGGGGACAATGACAAGGGTAAGGAGGAAGGCGAGCAGTGAACGGATCAGAAATGCGAGGGCGGAAGAGGGGGATAGGCAGCGACGCGACGGTCTGACGTATGGTGTGAGCATCGTGGTCGTATGAGGTGCTCCTCTGCCTAGTCACGACCTCCCTAATACTGCGACCGTCCAGCCAATGCTGTTGATAGCATCCCAATTTTCCGCGGAAGAAGAGCTACAACGCCTGAGCAAGGGTTGAAGCCATGCAAAGATTTGGGTGATGGTCGCTCGCTGGCGATCTGCGTGGGAAACGAGATGAGTGCAGCTTCGGCGCGGAACAGGCCAAATTGGCCAGTTTTGTCTCACATTTTTTGCGAAAGGTATGTGTAAGTGTAGGAAGAGGACCCACAAAAGTCACTTGCTCTGTTATCTTTCAGCGGGTTCTATCGAGGATGTACGGGAAGAATCACGCTAGATCAGTAGAGCAGGTGTTGAATGTGGGATGAACTAAAAGTGAACCGCATTCAAGTTTTCTCACAACGCGTATGAGCCGTCTGACAGCTGCTTCGGCAGCAGTGGCACATGCATGTGCGCTGCCGTTTCCCGCGCAGCTCATCTCTCCCCCCACCCACCCACCACTTCCACGCAACTAGTGCTGCTGGCATTCCGAGCGAGCCGCGTGGTGTTCCGCCCCCACTCACTCACACATCTCCTGCTATCGACATTCCCAAGGCCATTACCAGAGCCAAGCGAGGAATTGCACAGGAAAAGCAGCAACAGCCGAGACGCGACGTGATAGAGATCCCAGAGGAATTCAAAAACAGGCTATTCCGGTAACCTAGCACTGATTCTTTTCCTCGCTCCTGCGCCGTGGACTGTAGTTTCGTCAGCATCGCAAGCGTTCAGTGACATTGCGCTTTCGGCATTAATTATCATTCTTGTTCTCGAGTTACGTATCATAGCTTGTAAACCCGGGCCAAGCGTTAGGAGACTAGCGTTTTACCTCTCTGAGAGTTTGATGTCGCCAGCAGACCAGCGTTGACCTTACCTTGTCCCTTAGCCGATTCCGCCTGTTCTCAACAGATTTTTCTTACTTGTAGCCTACCGTTCTCGTCGCAACTTAGAAGAAAGCAAAGCAAAGTCGAAGGTTCGCTCCTGACAGATACTAGGACTATACTCTGTCCGATGAACACGCCGACATTGCTTCCAGTAGCATGCGGTCTTCTCCGGCATCATAAAGTCGACCCTGATACAACGTCGGCTATGCCCTCGATACCGTTGTTGAAGCATCTCTAAGCTAGATCGGTAGCCGGACGGAGCACCGGATGGTCCACGAGCCAACGCGTCGCGGCACCATGGCCCGACAATTACAGCCGCGCTTCGTCTCCACGCCGCTGATCGTGTTCAGCATATCGCTCTCCCTCACAATCTCCTCACTCACTCTCAGTCCTGCAACAGCAGAGTCCACTCATGTTTCTCCCAAGCGACGCATTCGAAGACTGCTCGACCTAGTCAGTAACCCCCTCGGCGGGTCCATCCCCTCCTCATTCTTCAGTGCGACGCCGACCTCTGCGGCAGCGCAGCGCGTGCTGCTGGGCCAGGCTCTAGGCGCGGAGCCCGCGGCGTCGACTCAGCTATCGTCTGTGCAATCCTCTGTTGTACTGGCGAGCGATCAGTCATTGCGACAGTCGCCAGAAGAGTCGCTAAGACAGTCGCTAGGGCAGACGACAAAACAGTGGCTAGAACAGTCATCAGGGCAGTCGTCAGAACAGTCGCTAGAACAGTCGCCAGGACAGACGACAAAACAGTGGCTAGAACAATCATCAGGGCAGTTGCCAGAACAGGTCGAACAGTCGTTAGAACAGTCGTCGGGGCAATCGTCAGAACAGTCGTCTGATGAGTCGCCTGTCATGCTCCCTGCAGCATCCGCAACGAAAGCTTCAGCATTGAAGCCGCACGACGCCACGTGGACCGCGCTGCACAACAAGTACGCTAGAACCGCCGGTCTGCTGCCGTCAGCTGACGTCATCTTTTTCGGCGATTCGCTCACGGAGGTACGCAGCAGAGCGGCCGTCGAAATCGAGGCGCTGATGATCGCAGCTTGCCTCTGCCAGTGCAATCTTGAACCATTGGCGAGCCGGTTGTTGTAGCCATGGCGGTTCTCGCGACGAGAGCCGAGACCTTGCAGCCCAATTCATGGTCTGACGAATTGGTCACGTCTCGTAAAGCGTGTATCACTTTTGTAAAATTCTGTTACAAGCATAGACTTTTCATGGTAGCACGCTCATTCGCGCTGGTTTCTCGGCATCCCCCGTGTTTGTCGCGTCAACGTGGACAGGGCTGGCTCGGCACGTTCAAGGGAGCGTCGACCGGTCTCTACGCGGGTGTGAGGTCAGTCCCCTTGTCGCCCAGTCGCACTCGCACAGCCTCCGGAAATTCGTCGCCATCGTCGCATGTCGCAGATCGTCGCAGTCATGGTTGCCGCAGTGATAGTTTTGTCCTCGTTTGTCAAGATGCCGGTCTTTCCTGATCCATTTATAAAGCCTCAGCGTATGCAGAAGCCGACGCAGTGCTTTCTCAACCACACCCCTTCGGCCATTGCGATCTCTGCTCATCCTACTCTTACCAACACGTCCGCTCCCGCCTTCCCATCTTCCCATGTTTCTCGTTTGCGCTTACGCCCGCTTTTGCTGTTGCTCTCCCTTTTTATGTTTGACCCCCCCATCCGCGTGTCCGCGCCAGGGGCGTGTTCGAGTCGGTGAAGGCGACGGTGGGTGCGACGACCGTGCAGGCGTTCGGCATCGCAGGCGACACTGTGGACGACGTGCGCGAGAGAATCGAGGTGCGCTGACCGCCATGTGTGCGCCATGTGTGCGCCATGTATGCGCCATGTGAGTTCCATCAGTGTGTGTGTGTGTGTGTGTGTGTGTGTGTGTGTGTGTGTGTGTGTGTGTGTGTGTGTGTGTGTGTGTGTGCGCGCGCGCGCGCGCTCGTGCGTGTGAGAGTCTCTGTGGGTGTGTACACGTGGCGCGTGCATGTCAGTGTCTGCCTAAGGCCGCAGCCTGCCGTGTAATTCCTCCTCCCCCTTCTCCTCTCCTTCCCCTCTCCTCCCCCTTCTCCTCTCCTTCCCCTCTCCTCCCCCTTCTCCTCTCCTTCCCCTCTCCTCCCCCTTCTCCTCTCCTTCCCCTCTCCTCCCCCTTCTCCTCTCCTTCCCCTCTCCTCCCCCTTCTCCTCTCTTTCCCCTCTCCTCCCCCTTCTCCTCTCCTCCCCCTCTCCTCCTCCTTCTCCTTCTCCTGCTTAAGTCTTCTAAATCTTCTCTTCCTTCTCCTCCTCCCCGCCAATCAAATGGCAGGGCGGCGAGTTCCCCCCATCGCTGCAGCTGCGAGTAGCAGTGGTGTGTGTGGGGATCAACGACGTGCTGGAGTATCCGAGTCGACTCAAAAGTCGCCTCCCATGCTTCTAAATCTCCTACTACTCCTCCTCTCCGCTTCACATGCAGGGCGGCGAGTTCCCCCCATCGCTGCAGCTGCGCGTGGCGGTGGTGTGTGCGGGGATCAACGACGTGCTGCAGGGGAGAACCAGCGCCGCCACCATGGCCTCCAAGGTACGCATGCAGCCACACGTCATTGCAGCCACACGTCATTGCAGCCACACGTCTTCTCCATCTCCCCTCACATTCCTGCCTCGCCCATCGTTTCCTTCCCTCCCCCTCCATCCCTCCCCGTGCATCTCCCACCCTCCATCCCTCCCCGTGCATCTCCCACCCTCCATCCCTCCCCGTGCATCTCCCACCCTCCATCCCTCCCCGTGCATCTCCCACCCTCCATCCCTCCCCGTGCATCTCCCACCCTCCATCCCTCCCCGTGCATCACTCCCCCTCCGTCCCTCCCCAACCATCCCACCCGCGTCCAGGTGGCATCGCTGGCGATCAGTGTGCGCAAGGCACACCCCTCCACCTCCGTGCTCGTGCTGGGGCTGCTACCCGAGGTGAGAGCACCGCACTGGGCTGCTACCCGAGGTGAGAGCACCGCACTGGGCTGCTACCCGAGGTGAGAGCACCGCACTGGGCTGCTACCCGAGGTGAGAGCACCGCACTGGGCTGCTACCCGAGGTGAGAGCACCGCACTGGGCTGCTACCCGAGGTGAGAGCACCGCACTGGGCTGCTACCCGAGGTGAGAGCACCGGACTGGGCTGCTACCCGAGGTGAGAGCACCGCACTGGGCTGCTACCCGAGGTGAGAGCACCGCACTGGGCTGCTACCCGAGGTGAGAGCACCGCACTGGGCTGCTACCCGAGGTGAGAGCACCGCACTGGGCTGCTACCCGAGGTGAGAGCACCGCACTGGGCTGCTACCCGAGGTGAGAGCACCGCACTGGGCTGCTACCCGAGGTGAGAGCACCGCACTGGGCTGCTACCCGAGGTGAGAGCACCGCACTGGGCTGCTACCCGAGGTGAGAGCACCGCACTGGTGCCTCTGTTTATGGATCATGAGTGATGTTACGCCGATGCTGCGTTCTCCCATAACTTTCTATGTGTCATCACGTCAGTTTTGAGGCGCCTAAGAAATGAGCAACGTGTTACGCCGTTGATGCCCGTTCTCCCATTACTTTCCGTGTGTCATCATATCATGAGTCTACCATGAGTCATGATGAGTGAAACATCTGCTGTGGTTTTCTTTTGACCGATCGTCGCTCATCTGTTGTTTTCATCTGACCCACCGTTTCAGGCGGCCATGAGCAAGAACGTGTCACTGCCTGACCCTGTGCCTGCTCAAGTGAACGTCATCCTCGCCTCCACTCTCAAACCAGGTACAGACTTGGGTATGACGTGGCACTCGCTGATTCGTGGCTGGCAGCATTGCAAATAGACCCGCTGCAAGCTGCTCTTCAAATTGCGTGGGGCAGGCAGGAGATGTGCGGTGCCTCAGAACATGGCCAGCATCAGAACAGTATCCTCTGCCCATCCCTCTCTTCTCACTCCCTTCATCTCTCGTCCTCTCTCTCATGTTGTCCCTTTCCCTCCGTCGTTGCCCCCCTGCACTGGACGGGGTGTTGTTCCTCGACTCCTCATAACTGCAGTCTCCTTGTCACCCTCTTCTCATTCATCTCCCCTCCTCTCCCTCCTGTTCCCCACTCGCTCCATCGCTGTCCCCCACAGTGGACGGGGTGTCGTTCCTCGACTGCTCATCTGCCTTCACCAATCCAGGGGGCTCCATCAATGCAGCAGCCTACGCACCTGTGAGTTGCGTTGCGAGAATTGAGGTGATTTTTGAGGCGCCTCAAAACATTGAGGTGTTTTTTTAGGTGATTTTCGAGGCGCCTCAAAACATTGAGGTGTTTTTTTAGGTGATTTTCGAGGCGCCTCAAAACATTGAGGTGTTTTTTTAGGTGATTTTCGAGGCGCCTCAAAAAGTTGATTTTTGAGGCGCCTCCAAAATCACCTCAATGAACCGGGAATGCACCGGGGGGCTCCATCAATGCAGCAGCCTACGCACCTGTGAGTTGCGAGCTTGAGTTCCTCTTGCGGCAGATGAGCACCCGCCACTCTCCCCATGCCCACCCCTCCCTACTGCACTGCATGCCTCCCCGCAGCACCCCTTCCCCGCAGCACCCCTTCCCCGCAGCACCCCTTCCCCGCAGCACCCCTTCCCCGCAGCACCCCTTCCCCGCAGCACCCCTTCCCCGCAGCTACCCTTCCCCGCAGCACCCCTTCCCCGCAGCACCCCTTCCCCGCAGCACCCCTTCCCCGCAGCTACCCTTCCCCGCAGCTACCCTTCTCCGCAGCACCCCTTCCCCGCAGCACCCCTTCCCCGCAGCACCCCTTCCCCGCAGCACCCCTTCCCCGCAGCACCCCTTCCCCGCAGCACCCCTTCCCCGCAGCTACCCTTCCCCGCAGCACCCCTTCCCCACAGCACCCCTTCCCCGCAGCACCCCTTCTGCTACCTCCTCTCTCACCTGCAAGTCGCAAGGCATGGTATGCTCTTCTGCCGTTTATGTCGGCCATGCTCAGGCCACCACCCGGCTCCCATCCCCGCCCCTCCTCCGCCCTCTTGTGCCGCGGTACTCTGTGCCCCCCACAGGACTCCTTCTGCGGGATACAAGGCTTGAACACCCTACCCCCACCCCCCTTTCCCCTCCTTCTTGTCTGCTCTGTGTGCCCTTCCCCCACAGGACTCCTTCCGCTACCTGCACCTCTCAGCTGCGGGCTACAAGGCATGGTCGGCGTGCTTCACACCACAAGTCAAGACCATGCTCAAGTGAGATGGGGGGTGGTGCTGTGCGGTGCCAGGGAACTGCAAAGGATGGGTGTGTGAGTGAAGGGGAGGCACAGGAATTTAGTGAAGGTTGCTGTGCTCCAGCTCTGTTTAGTTTTGAGAAGTCTCAAAGTTATGAGACATCTCGAAAGAGTTTTGAGGCGTCTCGAAAGAGTTTTGAGACGTCTCAAATGTAGAGGCACGTGAATTTAATGGAGACTGGCAGTGCTCCAGCTCTGTTCAGTGTCCGCTCTTCACTCATTCCCAAGTCGCGCCTTCTCTCTTCCCCCTCTCCCTGCCTTCATTATCCTCCAATCCCACACCGTCCCACCCCACCCCACTCCACCACACCCCACCCCACCGCACCCCATCCACAGAGAAGCATCAGCCAGCCCAGCCGTACCCACGTCCCCCGCCCGCACGCCCTCCACCCCTCCCCTCGCCACCGCACCTCCCTCCAAGCCCTCGCCTCCGCCTCTCAAATCACCCCCCACCCCCTCCCCTGTGCCATCTAACTCGTCCCCTCGCAAGCCCTCGCAGCACCCACCAAAGGAGAGGGGGGCACCGTCCGTCAATGCAACGAAATCAAAGTCACCACCCTCCAAAACGTCTCCCACCAAATCCCCTCCCACCAAAGCCCCTCCCTCCAAACCTCCTCCTTCCGTGTCTCCTCCTTCCAAAAACACTTCCGCCAAAGCACCCCCGTCCAAAGCCCCGCCCTCCAAGGCACCCCCATCCAAAGCTCCCCCGTCCAAGCCCCCCCCCCAACCATCATCCTCCCCATCAAAGCCCTCCACAGTCAAGGCCCCCCCGGCTGCGCCCTCTCTCCCCTCCCCTGCTGCTCCCTCCCTGCCATCAGTGCCCCTCCCCCCTCCTTCCCCATCTAAGCTTCCCGCCGCCTCTAAACCCAACCACACTTCCGATTCGCCTGCCAAGCTCCCTGCTGCCAAGCCCTCTGTTTCAAAAAGCCGTTCCCCTCACAAGTCCCATGAAAAGAAGGAGACTCCCAAGCATCCTCCCTATAAGCATGTCCCGTCAAAGGAGCCACCAGCATCTGACCTCCCTCCACCCGCCTCAGAGCCTCTTCCCAACAAAACGAGTAGTAAAAGCCCAAACACTGGGTCTAAACCCGCAAATCACCCGTCCGAACCTGCTGCTGAATCCGGTCCCAAGTCGTTCAAGCCTGGACAAAACACCTCCGAGCCTGAACCGAGCCATTCTGATCCCGAGCCTGGCGTTTCAAAGCCTGCGGGTGGTTCCTCCGAGCCAAGAGGCAGTTCATCCGAACCTGAGCCGATTCCTTCCGAGGCAGATGGCTCGTCAGGTTCGGGGATCAAGAGGATGAAAGGGCGAGACCCTGAGCACCCGTACGAGCCCGGGGGGAGGAGCAGTGGGGGTGGGGGAGACTGGCGGAATGGAAGCAGTGGGTCGAATGGTAGTAGTGGTGATGGTGGCCGTGGCAGCGGTGGTGCTGCTGGTGGTGGCAGTGGTGAGGGTAGTGATGGTGGTGATGGTGATGATGGTGGTGGCGGTGGTGGCAGCACTGGAAATGGGACGAATGGGAATGTGACACATGGGGATATGACACATGGGGATATGACACATGGGGATATGACACATGGGAATGTGACACATGGGAATGTGACAAGTGGCAATGAGACGAATGGGAATATCATGGACGGCAATGTGACGGGTGGGAGCAGAGGGCCTACAGTAGCAAATCCAGTGGAGAAGCAACCAGCCTCTGACACCGTGCCATCTGCCCCGGCTAATCTGCCCCCTGTTTCTGTGAGTCCCGTGCCCATGCACGCTCCTCCTCCTCCTCCATTATCAAACGTGGCAGTGCTCTGGCAGTTCATATGCTTCATATGACTCTTGCGTCGTCTGATTATCAGCATCAGCATGAGCAAGAGCACGATCATGAGTTCATTCTGAAAACCGTGCTCTTCTTAAACTTTACCCTCTCTTTCCCATTTTTCCCTGTTTTTTTTTTCTCTCTTCTTCTTTGTTTCTTTTTTTCACCTCCCCAGGCTCCGCTCCCACCTCTACCTCCTCCTCTCTTGCCAGATCCTCGCCCCAAGCTGCTTCCTCCCATCGCTACCCCATCCTTACGAGCCCCCTCTGCACCCGCTCATTCCCATCTGCCAGCGCTTGTGGTCCCTCCCCAAACACCAGCGGCACCCGCATCATTACCACCACCAACACGAATACCAACATCAATCCCAACGCCACTGCCTCCGCCCACGGTAGCGCCAGCATCAGCACCCCTTCCTGTCACACCTGTAGTCCCGCCTGCCCTGTCGCCCAACCCGCCTGCCCCTGCTCCCTCATCCTCCCCAACCCCCACACCCGCCTCTCTGCCCAAAGTAGCGCCCACCCCTCTTGCCCCTCCCACCCCCCAACCAGTGCCTGCTAGACCTCCCCTCGCATCTCCCACCCCCACTCCTAATCATATTCCTAGATCGAACCCTGCTGCGCCGGATACTCCTACTTCTGCGACCCGAGCACCGCTTGCAGTGCCGATCGTACCAACTGCGGTTGGCTCAAATCCTCAGTCGCCAATGGAGACAAATCCTTCAAATAGTAACATTCCTACTACACCTGCTGTCAGAGATGCGGGAATGCCAGGATTTGCAGCTGTGAGCAACTCTGCACCGCCTGTCGTCCCGTTCTGGCCTCCGAGTAAAGGAACGATGAATATACTACAAAGAAGGAATGACCTGTACACGTTTTTAGCGATTCTCGTTATGTCAATCTTTTTCTGTTAAGGATGTATATGCCGATAGATTTTTGGATCATCTATTCGAAGGAGGAAACCTAGCACCTCCCTCCTCTGTATTTATATATTAGTATATTTATTCTATAGTACGAAGTGCATTGTATTTTACGTTTGGACCCAGTCCCCTCTCGTCGAAGAGAGCAACATTCTATCGCAGCATGGCTGGCAACTCCCCAGACCAGACAGGACCCGCTTGATTCGGGAATTGCAGGACTGATGACTGACAGCAGCAACGCATACTAATACGAGTGCAATTGAGTGAACGAACGAGAATTGCACTATCGAAGCAAGAGTACAATGAGCGAAGGTATGAGCGAAGAATATATAGCGAAACTACAGTGGTAACGGTAATGGACTGTGGTTGTCGCGCGACGGGCCTGGAACTGAGGTTGGGAAAAGTGTCGAAGCGGAGGCCCGGAGCGCGGGTTACCCGCCGAGCCGTGAGGTCCGGGTGCGACGTGCGAAGGTGGCGGGCGGATTGTCGATGCGAGGATTGCGAGTGGTAACGGTGCTGGCTGTGGCGCTACAGTGATGTACGCGTTGAGCAGGGACGCAAAGTAAAGAAAAAGAGATTTTCCTTACACTACCCCTCCCCCCCCCCCCCCCCCCCCCCCCCCCCCCCCTAAGGAGGTCCTCCTTACGAAAGTGCGTATACATCCCTGAAATTCCGGCTGCGCAGATACTCGGTGAGGACGGGGTGGTTTTTGATTCTGTCCAAGGGAACCCAATTGTCTTCGGCGGGTGTACGGTCCTTCTAGCGGAGTAAGAACTCGATCCTTCGGGCTACTCGGGTCGCGAACTCTGTGACTCAGGATTTTCTCGGGGGTGATGATTGGTTCAGTCGGTGGTCTTGTCATGCTGGCTGGGCGATTGCGTGGCAGTTGGCTCGTGGACAGGACGTAAGGGCGAAGCAGGCTGACGTGGAACGAGGGGCTGACGTACCAGTCAGCAGGGAGGAGGAGGTGGGCGGTGACAGGTGTAAGCATGTGGCTTATGCGAAATGGTCCGCAGTATCGGGGGCGGAGTTTCGGGGTGATGGGCAGTCGGAGATTTTGGGTGTCGAGCAAAACTAAGTCGTCGGGCTGGTAAGTGACAGGTCTGCGGTGGCGGTCGGTGTTGCGTTTAGCGATGATGTTAGTTTTTTTAATTGCGTATGCTGCCCTGGTCCGTGCTGCTTGCAAAATTTTGGCGAACTGTTGCGCGCGTGGAACCAGGTTGTCGGGATTCGGGGTCATGGGTACTGTTGGGTCTTGTCCGTAATTCAGGTAAAACGGTGACTGTTGGGTCGTGGCGGATGGGGCGTTGTTGTATGCGAATTCGATGAGTGGCAGTTGCTGTTCCCACGTGTTTGGATCGTCGCACGTGGCCCGGATGAGCTGTTCCTTGGTCTGATTTGTCCGTTCTGTCTGTCCGTCTGTTTCGGGGTGGTACGATGAACTAAAGTGTAGTCGCGTGCCGAACTGCTGCCACAGGTTCCGCCAGAAGTTGCTGGTGAATTTCGTGTCTCTGTCGCTGATGATTGATGCTGGTATCCCGTGCAGTCGAACGACGGTAGAGATGAAGAGGCGGGCTGTTTCTTCGGCTGTGATTGATTTTTTGCAGGCTGCGAAGTGTGCCATTTTCGTCAATCGATCGACGACGACCAGGATCGCGTCATTTCCACTCGCCCCGGCCGGTAACCCCGTGACGAAGTCCATCGTCACCTGCTGCCAAGCACGCTCTGGAGGTGGGATTGGCTGCAACTGTCCCGCCGGCCGCTTCCGTGTTGACTTCATGATCTGGCAAGTGGGACACGATGCCACGTGTCGCTGCACGTCGGTCAACATTTCGGGCCAGTAATAATACCGCTGCAGCTGCTGCCATATTTTCTCTACCCCGAAATGTCCCGAGGTAACCCCGTCGTGTGCCTCTTGTAATATTAATTCCCGTAGCAGTGTGTACCCTGGTACCCAGATGCGGTCGGTTCCAGCTTTTACGTAATAGACTCCCTTGGCTGCTGCGAATTGCTGCGAGTTCCCTCCTGTGAAGAATGGGTCCGTTTGATATCCGTGGGTAAATAGTCCTGTCAGTAGCAGGCTGGTCTGGGCGAGTAGTATCGCGTGGATCTGGGCAGTGGGGCGGGTCAGTGCGTCGGCGATGTTCGAGGCTCCTTTTTTAAAGGTGACTGTGTAGTGGAAGTTTGACTCGAGGAAATCGAGCCACCGAATCTGTCGTGGGTTGAGGTGGGGCTGTGCGCGGAGGTACTGTAATGATCGGTGGTCTGTCCGTACTGTCACGTCTGCGCCGGTCAAGTAGCAGCGCCACACTTTGAACGCATGCACGATCGCGAGCATTTCGCGGTCGTGTATCGGGTAATTTCGCTCGGGCGAATGCAGTTTTTGTGACTCGTATGCGATGGGCTGTAGGCCGTTGCCGAAGTCCTGTAGCAGTACGGCTCCAATGGCGATGTCGCTTGCGTCTGTAACAACCTCGAAGGGGCGGTGTGGGTCGGCGATGCGCAGGACGGGCGGTGAACAGAGAACATTTTTCAGGGTAGAGAAGGTAGCATGCTCTTTCTCCCCCCACGTAAAAATGACCCCCTTTCGCAGTAAATCCGTCAGCGGGGCAGTCAACTGTGCCATGTCGGGGAACGAACCCTAAAAAACTCTGCAGTTCTGTGATGTTCGTCGTGGGACGCCACGCTTTTACCGTATCCAGCTTCTTTGGGTCGATTTCAACTCCAGCCTCCGAAATAACGTGCCCCAAAAATTCGAGTCTGTCCCGAAAAAACTCGCACTTAGAGCCCTTGGTTAGTAACCGATGTTCCTCTAAAACTTTAAATACTGCTTCGAGATCCGCTAAATGCTGCTGCTTGTCGCGACTGTAGACGAGGATGTCGTCGAGGTAAACTATCACGCATTTATCTAAGAGTGGCCTAAACGCCTCGTTCATGGTCATCTGAAATGTTGCGGGCGCGTTGGTCAGCCCGAAAGGCATCACCGTGTACTCAAACGACCCGTACATAGTCCTAAATGCCGTCTTGGCGCAGTCCGATGGTTCGACCCGAATCTGATGGTAACCCCCCCGTAAGTCTATTTTTGAAAACACCCGTGCTGTTCGCAGTTGGTCGATCAGTTCGTCGGCGCGGGGAATGGGGTACCGCGACTTGACTGTTACCCTGTTGAGCGCCCGGTAATCAATACACATGCGAAACCCTCCGTCTTTTTCGGTGTGAACAGTATCGGTGCGGCGAACGGTGACGAACTTGGTCGAATAAACTGCTTCTCTAACAAATAATCTAACTCCTTCCTCAGTTCGTCGAGCTCGGGCTGTGTCAGTCTGAACTGGCGCTGTACAGTTGGCTGTGCCCCCGGTTCTAACTCGATCCTATGATCATGCGCCCACTGAGGTGGCTGTCAGATTTATATGACATAGTTGCTGTAGGCTATACTGGGGTAGCACATATGGGGTACAGGTTTCTAGGGTTGTATTTGTACCCAATCTTTCCTTAGTCATTTCATTCCTGTTCTACAACTCTCACATGGTATAGAGCGGGTTCCCTGTGGGAACTTCGCCTAGGGCCCACCGAAGCGCGCCCCGAGGCGCGCCAACCTTTTTTTTTTCTCTCGCGCTCGAGCGACCCTCCGTGTCGCCCTTCCCTCGCGGCCCCGCCGCCCTCTCTGTCGCGGCCCCGCCGCCCTCTCTGACGCGGCCCTGCCGCCATTTCTGCCGCGGCCCCGCCGCCCATTTCGACCGCGGCCTCGCCGCCTGCTCAGACGCGGCCCCGCCGCCCGCTCAGACGCGGCCCCGCCGCCTGCTCAGACGCGGCCCCGCTGTCAAACATTATATATGTTCTGCTTGTGTAGGCTACAGTGGGTTAGCCTATAGGGGGTACACAATTCTAGGGTTTCCTACTTGTACTCATTTCACTGCTAGTTCATTCATTCCTGTTCGCTTATTCTCACATGGTATAGAGCGGGTCCTTCTACGGACCGTTTTTTTTTGGGCCCACCGAAGCGCCCCCCGAGGCGCGATTTTTTTTAGCGACCCCTCGGGTCGTCATTTTCCCTACAACCCCACCGCTTTCACTGACGCGGCCCCGCCGCCCTCTCTGACGGGGCCCCGCCGCCGGCCCTTACGCGGCCCCGTCGCCGGCTCTCACGCGGCCCCGCAGCAGGCTCTGTCGCGGCTCCGCCCCGGCCTTTGCGCGGCCCCGCCGCCTGCTCTCACGCGGCCCCGCCCCGGCTCCTTCGCGGCCCCGCCGCCTGCTCTCGCGCGGCCCCGCCCCGGCTTCTACGCGGCCCCGCCCCGGCTTTCACGCGGCCCCGCCGACGGCTTTGTCGCGGCCCCGCCCAGGCCCTTACGCGGCCCCGCCCCGGCTCTTTCGCGGCCCCGCCGCCTGCTCTCGCGCGGCCCCGCCCCGGCTTCTACGCGGCCCCGCCCCGGCTTTCACGCGGCCCCGCCGACGGCTCTGTCGCGGCCCCGCCCAGGCCCTTACGCGGCCCCGCCGCCTGCCCCCGTCGCGGCCCGGTCGCCTCCTGACGGCCCCGCCGTCCCTTCGTGACGGCCCCGCCGTCCCTTCCTGACAGCCCCGCCGTCCCCTCCTGACGGCTCCTGCCGTCCCCTTCTACAGGCCCCGCAACTGCACCTGCTGGCCCCGCCGCTGCACCTACCGGCCCCCACCACCCACC